TATATATATATATATATTAATATATATCATATATATATATATATTATCTTTAATATATTTCTTTTTATTCAAAATTAGTTGTTATAAAAAACTTATTATTTGTTATTATAAATAAATTAACTATTATTTTTTAAAACACTATTGGATTATATTTAATTATATTAATTGCTTATAACTGGAATGCTACTTAAAATGTTTTAATTTCTTTATTAGTTACTATATAAATATTATATGTTTTAAGAACTATTTATATTTTCATCAATAACTTTTTTAATATAAAAATGTTTAAAAACAAATATAATATAAATATATTTAGAAAATATAGTAAACATTTATAATAATTAAATATTATTATTTTAAAAATATATAATAGTTATTATAACATAAATATATTTAATTTATACTTTATTTTATATCTTAAAAATTATCACTGTTTTACATTTTTTAAGTTGTAACAGCGCTACTATTTTTTTATGGTGTTATTTAATTGTTAAAATTATGAAATGTTTCTGTTTTACTATTTATATATTTTTTTTTATATTAAAATATTTATTATATTTTACTATTATATTTATTATTATTATTATTATTATTATTATTATTATTATTATTTAATTTTATTATTATATCTATATTTAATTTATTTAAGGCCATAAAATTCCATCACCGCATGGTTTCGCTTTTTTTTATATTATTATTTATTTTTATAATTTATAATTTAATTTTTTAATTTTTATTTATATTTTCTATGAATTTTAATACCTCCTTCTGTTATTATTGGAAATGGCCAATATGCCCAATTTACTCCAAAAACTTAAACAAAATTATAATATTTACCTATATCATACTTTTTTATTTATATTTTTTTAAAAATATTTATTATTATTAATATTAATATATACATTATTATTATTTGTGTATGTGTTTTATCTTTTTTTATCTAAATTTTCGATAGTTGTTGTATTTGAAAATAATAATTCTAAATGAAATTTAAAAAATATTCCTATAACAATTATTGCTGTCACATCAAGTGCAAATGCAATAACTATTATAAAATCTTTAAACCAATTTTCATTTTTTATAGAATTCCCCATCAATAGATCCTTTTTTTATTTATATTATTTAAAAATATAAAATTATACCTTAAATGCAATTATTATATTTATTATTTCCCCTATCATCCCAAAAAGTGATATCCATGTTGTAATATTTACATAAAATAATAATAACATAAAATATTTCCTGTTCGAAAATCCTATACATGTATTTAACCATGAGCAATGATGGTCCATATTTAACACACATCTATTACAGGCTGAACAATGATGAGTTCTTTCTGGTTTGAATATATGACAAATTAAACAATATCGCCTTTTTTTATGTTCAGGATCTTCTAAAAAATATCCCCAATATAAAGGAACTCTTCCCTATATTTTTTATATATATATATTATAGATTTTTAACTTTTTGTTAAAAATAATACGGGGTCAGTAAACATTGTGGTTAATAAAGACCAAAATAACATAAAAGCGAAAAAATTAAATATTATGAGATAAAATATTTTAAGGAAACTACCTAATATTTTTAGTTTTTTTTTTAGTTTTTTTTTATTTATTTTTTACTAGGCTTTCTGTCAATCCATATTAGTTTCAAATTTGTAAAATAAATAAAAATTATTATTCCTATAATCAAATATACGAATGCATATTATTAAAGCTTTTTTATTTTTTAAATTGACATAATTTTTGTCCTTCTATAATTTAATTTGTTTTAATATAAGAATTATATTTTTTTTGAAATAAAAAGAAATTATAAATTGCTTTATTTTTATTGTTTTTATATATTATTTTATTGAATATTTACTTTTTTTTTCTTTATTTATTTTTTATTATTAAATTCATAAATAACTATAACTATAAAAATAATACTTTCAAAAAAAAAAGTAAAATATTTATTTAAATTAAATTTTGAATATTCAACTTATATTCAATATAATAATTTTTATTTTTATTTATAATATATATATATATATATGATAATATTAAATTATTCTAGTTAATATTTTTTTATTATTAAAAATTTATAATTATTGTTTTTTTTTATATTTAATTTTTTTAATTAATTAATAAATTAAACAAATCTTTGTTTAATTTAGTTTTTTATTAATATATATTCAAATAAGAAATTTAATATATACATATGAAAATATTAAATATATATCATTTGTTTAACTAAATACTTAAATTTTAAATAAATTTAGGAGATCTAACATTTATTTTAAATTATTATCGTTAATTATCGTATTCTTCTAATAAAATATATAAAAAATTATAATTTATATTTAAAACCTACACATATATTATTAAAATATACCTATTAAACTATTTTAAGTTAAATTTGATTTTTCTTCATATTCTTCATCTTTTTCGAAGATTTATTATTTTTTAGCATTTTAGGCATATTTACTTTTTTTGCTATTATCAGCATATACTTCTTATATTTTTTCTTCTTCATTATTATCTAGAGTTATATTTTCTTCACCTCCATATGTCACTTCATTTTACAAATAAAAGAAATATATTATAAATAATACTTATATATATATATAGGTAAATAATATTTATATAAATAATGATAATTACTATTGTCTTTATACATATTAGTTTTTTTAATCATTTATAAAACTTAATTCATAAGGCTTAGTTGTTGGTCTAATTTAAATATCGTCTTTAAGGAAATTATTATTAAGTAAACATCTTAAATTAGAATAATTATTCCTTTACATTTGTGACTCTTAATAGCTTTATTTTTTAGCACTTATATTAAATTTATCAAGGTTTTTTTACATTACCAAGTAATAAGAGCTTCGTCGAAATAACTTTGTGAGATTTAAGAAGGTTTACAAAAAAGTGCTGAAAATAAATAAAAGAATATTTAAATTAAAGATTTTGTTACACCATATAAAGCATTTCTGAGTTGAGGATAAGAAATTAAAAAAAATACATATAGTGCAAACAAAGGAACCGTTTAAAATAAGAAAATAATTAAATATATAAAACTTTTGAAATTTATTTAAATTTTCGAAGTTATTTTTATTGAATCTGAAGGAGAAAATATATTCGTGTAATTTTCAGCTAAATAAAAACCTTAAGAAACGGTAATTTTATATATGTTTTATAGACAAGAACTTAATTCTTCACCTTTGTATACTGTGTATTGTTTATGAATGTAGTAAATGAATAATATTAGTTTAAATAAAAACTTAAATATTACTACTATTATGGATACTACCCATAATGTTTGTAATTTTTTCTCGAAAAAATTAACTGTGAGGAGTATATCAGCAAACGTATCGTATCTTTCTATAAAACTGAAGGTTAGGAGATATAATCCTTATAGTTTTTAATATCTTTTCCAGTTATTCGAATAAAAAACGTCACTTTGAAATAAAAGAGTAGTTTTTTTCTTTTCTAGGTTTACAAGAATTAATTCCAAACCTGATACAATAAAAGCAAATATAATAGTAGATAGGGCAAAAATATTTTATATTTAAATTGAAAAAATGTCTGTTTAAAAAAAAAAGGCAAAAAGAGGTATATAAGGTAATATAAATTAAATAAGATGTAAAAAAAGAGCAAAATTATAACTTTTAGGTATTTTCTATTTTTGGATGTTATTATTAAAGCCATAGTTCATTTAAAATTGAGTGTTATTTAAATATTCGTTACATATGATTTTCGCAAAAAGACTTTTGATGAATTTTATATTTTTGTATTTGTTATTTAAATGCCATAAAAAATACTAAAATATTCCACAATCAAGTAAATTAGCAATTTATTGCTTATTGTCTATTTAAATATTTGATATATGTAAATTATCAGAACGAATATCAAATAAATTTATAAAAAGATGGATTTTACCAATAGATGTTATTTTAGGGTTATTAGATAAATTTATTTCTTTCAAAAGTTTAAATGAATGGAATTGTTTTGCAAAATCAATCAAAAAATTGTCGTCTATATAAGATTCTGTAATACTTAATTTTCTTAAATAGCTTGGTATTAGTCCTGGAATGAAAGTATATTTAGCATATATTTTGACATAAGAATTAATTATAAAAGTGGCTAATTCATTATCTATTCCTTACCAATTATTTATTATAAAAATATTTGTCTGAAATTTATAAACTTATTTTAAATAGTTATTTCCCAAATAGCCTATACTTAAATTATTAATGAATAAAAATTTCAAATTAGATTTCAAATCTTTTCTAGAAAAGGAAGTACTTAAATGATAACAAAATTAATCCCCATCTTTATTATTACTAACATCCAAACATCGGAGTTTGGGACTTAATTCAATTCCTGTGCATATATATTAATATGATATGGTACTTAGATTACAGTTGCTTATATTTAATTCAGAGATATATTTGTTGTTTTGCAGTAAAAAACTTATTTGCTTTGAAGCATCTTCGTTTATAGAATTGTTCGGGATGTTTAAAGATTTTATAAAGCAATCGCCTGTACACATTATTTTGACGAGAATTTTAATATGATCTTCTTTTAAATTACAATCATTTAAATCGAGATGACGGAGTGATCTGGATGTGCAGGCTAAGTTAAGAAATATTTCGAAATTTTAGATTGGAGTGAATGAGTTTTATATTTATTCTGCTAAAATTTAATTTGTGCTTTTGTTTTCAGCATCTTTGTTTCTGATTCTTTTGGAATTTTTATTTACTAGTTATTAACCAAAAGTAAAAAATTTCAAAGAATGTGAATTTTTGATCATTTCGCCAAGCTTTTTTAAGGCTCGTTCTGAAAGTAGATTAGAGGAAAAATCTGCAAATTTAAAATGCTTTTTTTCTTATTCATATAAACACTAAAATAGCTTTTCAAAAGATTATTAAGGAATTTTTAGTTATTATAAAATATAATTATGAATACTATTATTTTATAAAAAACCTTTCAATATATATTCAAATTCAATCTAGGAAAATGTATTATAACTTAAGTCAATTAATTTTAAAGCTTTTGTATTTTAAAGTAAATGCATCAGGTTTATACAAAATTTTTCGTTAAAAAGAATATGCTTTAATTTAAGAATTTCTATGCTTTAAAATCTTGCTAAAATAGGTATTAATTCACAAATATTTTCTTATAATGTTAACATATTTTCAGCATCGAAAATTCTTAAAGAATTAAATTTTATTAATTATTTTAAAGCACAATAAAAATTATTTATAGATTAGTAAGTAAATATACAGTTTTTTATAATTATTTGTTACAAATATTATCCATTTTAAAATATATAAGAAGTAAAATCTTAATTTCTAAAAAATTATTTACATAAATTTAATGTGTTTACATATTTACATTTATTATAAGTAACTGCATTTACATTGTTAAAATCAAAATTATTAGATAAATCCAGTTCTTATATTACTTCGCCTTCATATAATAAACGACCTAGAACTCTTAAATCATCGGCTTTTAGTTTTACATTTTAAAGGTTTATATTCCTGGCATGAATATGTAAAATATCATTCATATTTTCCATTTAGTTTAAAGCCATTTTTTTTTTATATTATTAAAAGAATTACTGTTTTTTATTTAATGGAGTACTCTATTATTGAAGCTAAATTAAAAATAATTATTAAGATTGGGATTATTGCACGTTTTAGGTTAAAATACTTGCACAACTTTCAATAATTGAGTTTTTTTTTTTATCTATTTAGATATATTATTAAAATTATTTTTATTATTATTTTTGTTATTACTATTATTATTGTTATTATTATTATTATTAGTATTTGTTTTTAAAGAAAAGGTCCCATTAATCATCAAAATCTAAACAAATTAAACTTTCTAATTAAATTTAATTATTTCCTATTTTCAAACATTTCAAATTTTTACAAGCAACAAGCATTTTCTAAACTATCTGTCTATGAGTTTGTGTAATTCCATTTTAAGAAATATCTAAAATTTCTAGGTTACTACTTTATCCTATATTAGTTAAAATTTCTTATAGATTATCTTCTTTATATGCTAGTTTATTTTTGGATAAATTAATATTTTTTAAACTTGTGTTTTATTTTATAATTTCAGCAAAATTTTTAATTACTTTTTATTTCAGTTTTCCTATTTTTAAACCTCGCAAGTTTAAATTTCTTAAATAATCATTTCTTTTTATAAAATGACCTAAATTTATTAAATCTTCTTCATGTAAAGGCGAGCATCCTTTTAAATTTAATATTTCTAGTTTATTAAATCTAGCTTATAAAGAATATATTACAGCACAAGAAATATACTCATTTCCTGAAAAATCAAGTTCTTGTAAATATTCACAGTTTAAAGAAAATTTAGCTTCGTGAGAATATTCACCTAAAGTATCGTTGTCTAAATCGCAAAAACGAATACTCTTTAAGCGACAGTTGTTCATTAATTTTAAAAAAATAAATACTATGCTATAATGGATTCTATTACCAGTTATATCTAAGTGTTCTAATGATAAAGCATCATGATTTACTATTATACATATTATACTTTCGCCATCTAGGTTATTATAAGCAATGGATAGACTATTAAGGTTTAAGTTATCCCTTAAGGCGTATATTATAACGTTAAAACCTTCCGATTTTATGTAGTTTCGGTCTAAACATAAATGTGTCCATTTAGGATTCTACCGAAGAATTTAAGCTATTTAATTTGCACCTTTAAAACCTATTTTATTATTACTTAAATCTAAATGTGTTAAAGTATGAAATATATTTAATTTTGTTAAATCTTTTAATGAATTACCAGATAATTTTAATTATTCTATTAAAATATAAATATGTATATAGTATTTATATATATATTTTAATGTATATATTTATAATTATATAAATATATATATATATATATATATATTATAAATTTCATATATTTAAATTTATATTATTTTACGTAATTATTTATTTGTTTAAGTGCTTATTTCTGTAAATATTTCATCTAATTTCTTTATTCCATTTTTAGATAGGTTAATAACTTTGGATTTTTCAAATTTGGACATTAATTATTAAATTAATTAAGAAGAATTTAATTAATTTCCTTCTATATTTAAATATTTTAAATTTCTAACTGACCAAGGTGTAATATTCTCTACAAAAAATTTCAAACCATTTTCTTTAATTTTATTATATGAAATATTTAAATCGATTAATGTATTATTTTCTGAGAGGCCTTTCGCTAAACAGATTAATGTTAAAGGATTCAATTCCATAAGTGAAATATTCAAAGAAATTAAAGTACTATTTTCGGCTAAAGAGGCACAAAGCAAAGAAAGTGATAAATTATCAATATTACAATGTGATAAATTTAATTTTTTTAATTAACTTTTAGACTATTAGCTTCTAAGGATAAATTAAATAAGATTTTCAATAGTTTAGAAGGTAAAATTTTAATTATTATATAAATTTAGTTCTTATATTATTTTATTATTAGAGAGTCTTTTAAATAAATAACTCAACATAAATGAATTTAAATTACAACTAGATAAATCTAAGTATTTTATACTCTTATTTATAGTCAAACTATAGGCAATTTCCATAAATAAATAAGGATGAAGATCACAACCGGAAAGTATTAAATTTTGTAAATGACGAGATTTTTTTAAACCTTAAGCAAGCATAACATAACATTCTAAACTCGCTTCATCTTTTTGGAGTATTATGTTTTTTTTATTTAGAAATTTTTAATTGTTTTCTAATATATATATATATTTATATAAATATATATTTATATATATAAATATGTGTATATATGTTTTTATTTTTTACTCTACCTCTCCAGTAATTTAAACAATATAATGTTTATATTTAGTTAGGATGAGACTATGCACTTTTTAAAGAAGAGTAATTACGGGGATTTTTCTTTTGCTTTTTTTCGTATTAACTTTCGATTATATTACTGTTTTAGTGATCTAAAAATTGCGATGATTCGTCGGAATCTATACTTATTTTTTGGTTTGATTTATATTAAATCATATTTATTTTTTATGCTTTTTTTAAATTTCTTTTGTTTTTTATTTTTTTTTAGTTTAAATTTAGATTGGCCTAATATTTAGATTCCCCCTTTTTTTGTATTTTTTCTAAAAAAAATAAAATATTAATTTAATTTTTTTTTGTTTTGAAAAAAGTAATTTAAAATGTTTTTTTTAAATAAAGTAATTTTTTTTAAGTTTAATAAATAAAATATTATATAAAATTAATTATTTAAAAGAACTTAAAAATTTTATGATTTTTTTAAATAAAAAATAATATTAAACAATATAATGTCGTCTATAAAATTATATATTATTATTTATTTAAAAAAAAAAATTATATCGCTATTCTTTATATACTTTCTCATATAAGAAACCCTTTAATATCCAATATATTCACTTTTTTAAGCATACGAATGTTTAAAAGACTATAATTATTACGATTTAACAGATATGTTTCATCCTGATATACCCTATTTGAAAAAAACAGGTTATAAAAACGAAATAGTAAAGATAATAGCAAAATATGGTGGTTTTTGGAACCAAAAATTTACTTTACCAGGATAATGGAGTACTTATGTAAAAGCTTTTAATCACTAGGAAAACGGAAATTTATTTTAAAACTAAATATCTATAATGGAATAAATAGATTAAAAAAAAATAGCATAAATAATATAATTGATATTCATTAAAAAATGTAAGATATGTAAATTTATAAAAATTAATAAAATTTATGAAATTTCATTCTTTTGTATCAAAATAGATTTGTAAAATAAAATTATTAACAAAAATATTATGGCTGGCAAATATGAATTAAAAATAAATAGAGCATAAATTATCCTGGTTAAAGTAAATTATTAATGAATTTTATTATAAAAAAGAAAAATTAAAACTATTAAACATGAATAAATAGATAAAAAGATGTTTGTATTCTTAGAATAATTATGAATAAGAAATATATGTTTTAAAATAAATATGTGAATAATTAAATTTATTGACAACTAACATAAAGTAATGGCTTTAAAAGACATTATATATAAATTTTTAAAAGCATTAAAGTAGACATTGATTATAAGCTTATATTAAAGCGATTAAAAAAGAATGTAAAAATAAAAGTTAAAATATAAAAAATAACAATAAAAATATAACTAAATAATAGAATTAATAAAATGGAATTATATTATTTTATTTAATATTATTATGGTTAATTTAATTAATATAATTATTAATATTATTATTATATTATTTATTTTTATTCTAATATTTAAATCTCTTTATTTAATTATTTAATTATCATTATTAATTTTATTTTATATATTATTTTTTATTTTAATATGTTTTTTTATAAAATCATAAAATTAAATAAAATGAATACAAACGAAATAAATAATAAATTTAATTAATCTAATTATTTTTTTAAAAAACTTTATAATAAAATGGATTATATTAAAAAAAATACATAGATTAATAAGAACAAAGTTTAAAAAATTAATATTTAATTAAAAAGTTAATTATCTTGTAATTAATTTTTAAATGAAATTTGTAATAAATAAAAACTTGAAGAATAAATTAAATTTAAAAATACTTTTTTGAAAAAACGTTTAATTTAAAATGAAATTTAAAAAGATAATTCTAATATTTTTCTTAGTGAAAGAAGATATAGAAATAATAAAAATAAATAAAATAAATAAGAATTAAAATTGCCTTCTTTTTAAATTTAAAAATAATAATATATGTTAAGAGAAATACTCAATAAAAAGAATTAAGAAAGTTAATAAGATATGAATGAAAAGTTTTATATAAATTTTAACTTTGATAATTAAAAAGAAATTAATTTTTTAAATTAAAATAGTAATAATAAATTAAAAAAATAAGAAAATGAATTAAAAAAAGAATATAGTAATCATAAGAATTTATAATAAAGTTAAAATAATGATAATAAAAAGAAAATTATAATTTTTTTTTTAAAAAAAAAATAAGTAAATTATTGTAATATAAATTGTTTAAATAATAATAATTAAACTTAATAAATTAATTATATATAATATAATAAAAATTAATAAAAAAATGATAATAAAAATAATAATGATAATAATAATAATAATAATAATATAATAATAATAGTAATAATATTATTTATAGTAATAATAGTAATTGTAATAGTAATTGTAATAGTAATTGTAATAGTAATTTTAATAGTAATAGTAATAGTATTTGTAGTTATGATAGTTATAAAAATAATTTCTTAAAATATAATTTTTTTTATTAAAAATCTATATAATGATATAATTATATAAGTTATTTATATAATTTATAAAATATATATATATATATATATATTATATATATAATTTTCAATATAATTCTATCTACTATATTTAGGCATTATCATTTACTGTATAAATAATATTTGTTTAGATATCATATAATATCTTATTATTTTTAGAATTAGAATTTTCTTATTGTATATCTTTTAATTTATTATAATTTTTTATATTCCAAACTGAAATTTTTCCTTGTTTACCATTACTACATATAAGAATATTGAAATTCTCTATTCCAAAGATATCATATATACAAAAATCTTCTTTAATCACATTAATAAGATTTAAATTTTAAACTCCCCAAATTTTTATGAGACAATCATCACCAAAACTAATCAATATATTATCATTTTAAATTATTATTTTATTTATAATTCCTTAATGTGCCTAAACTTTTTTAAATATTTGAAAATTTCGTAAGTCCCAGGCACATATGAACCTCTCATAGGCTACAAAAAGACATTTTTTGCCTAAATTTTACATATAAGAAGGTTTATACATATTTATAGAAACAAGACTTTTCACTAAAATACCTTTTTCTAAATCCCATATTTTTATATTATTATCATATCCACATGAAAAAAAATCAGAGTCATTTAAAAAAAGTAAGTTTTTGACTAATTCATTGTGTCCTTTTAGATTTTAAACACACTACCATTAAGGAGCTGGTTTCCATATTTTTATTATATTAGATTCACATACACTTGCTAATGTTCGAGTATTTTAATTATAAGATAGAGCCAAAATCGCACTTTCATGACCATTTAGAGTCAAAAGAAGTTTTATTTATGGACTTTTTGCCCATATTTTAATTGTCTTATCAACACTACAGGTAACTAGTTTATCTTCGTCTAGAAATATTAAATCTTTAATAGGACCTTAATGTAGCTTCTAAATACTAATATATATATATATTACTTAAAATATTATAAAAAAATATATAATTTTATAAAATAAAGATTATAATTATTATTTAAATGAATTTTAATAAAAAATAAATAAAAATTGTATATAATAATATAATATATATATATATATATATATTTTTATTTATTTTACTTTTTTTTATTAAACTTAATAAAAAATAAATATATTATCCATATTTTTCGAATTTTTTAAAAAAATAAATATTTATATATATATAATCAAAAATTTATATATATAAATTTACATTTATGCTTATAATTAAGATTATAATGGTTCATTTTATTGTGTTTTAGATGTTTAAATATATTAATTAGAATTATTATTACTTATTTTAAAAATTTTAGAATATTATTGTTATTTTTCTTTTTCATTTAATGTTTTTTAAGGTTTATTATTACTATTTTAGTTTAATTTCCAATTTTCGTTTAATGTTCTTTATGGTGTATTATATTTAATTTAATTTTCTTATTTTTATATGTTTGAAAAATTTTAAGTTTATTCTTATTAGTTGTTTAAAATATAATTTTACTATTTATTTTATTATAGTAAATTATATATGCTTGTTAAATATTATTATATATTCGCTTATATCTTGAATGATTCTTTTGATTCTATATCAGTTATAATTTAATAATTTTATAATTTTTTATCTATTTATTAAAAATAGGATTCGTTTCTTCGGAAAAAATTAAAAGAATTATTTTCAAATGAAATTTCTAGTCTTGAAAGTAGTTCTAAAATAGTAATTTTTGTTAAATTTTAGTTATTTAATATGCAAGAGTATCTTTCTTCGATTTATTTTAGATTTTCAATTGAAATAAGGTCGTTTTGAAATATTATTTGGATTTGTTAGGTAGTATTTCTTATTTAGTCTTGTATTTAATTGCTTAATATATTTAATGTGCTTATTATTTTTTCTTGTAAGTTTTTCATATTTTATATTTAGGTTTCGAAATTTTCTTACAAAGAAATTAATTTGTAGGTTTCTATATATTTTTGTATAAAAATTTAAGAAGAAATAAAATAATGCGATTAATGTTCAGTTTTTAGCATATTTAACATATTAAGCCATTAAATTAACATTTCGGGACTAAACATACTATTTCTAAACTTTAATTTGGATGAATTTGACATAATTATTTACTTATATTCATTATTTTATATATTTATGTTAGAAATAAAAATTTATTTTATATAATTATATATATATATATGGTTATTATATTTATTTTATTTAATATGATTTACTTAAATTTTATTAATTTAAAAATACATCTTATATATATTCTATTTATTTTTTACTAATTATATATTTATATGATTATTTTTGTATATATATATATTTTTGTTTTTTATATTTATATTTTTTATAATTTGTATTTCTTTATTATCTTTTAAATTATTTAATATTTGGCTCAATTTGAATGCGATTTAGTTGCTAAAATAAATATTTGAATGCAACCTTTAATCTAGCATTATATAAAATAAATACCAAAAAATATTTAAATGAAATACATCCGAATAATTATTTTCGAAAGAATAATATAGAATACTAAATAAAGAAAATAAATACAATAAAAAAGCTATATAATATTCTTAATTAATTCAAAATATAAAACAATTTACCCAAAAAATATATTAAAAATTAAACTAATAATCACTAAAACTATACTAATAAAAGTTTCTATAAAAATGTTAATCCAAATTTTATAAGTACTATTTAATGAACTTTATCCTAAATAAAGTTGGCCTAAAAGGCAAATAGTGAATCCTAAGATGTTCAAATTGAGTTAGAAGATCAAAAACTTTTTAATTTTAGTATATATATTGCTTCTTGAAAAGCAAGCAGTTATTATATAAGCATATATCAGCCGTTTTTTTGGCTATTTCTGTAATATTTAGCCCCATAGAAAATGATAAGTTGGCTATTTTGAAACAAGGAGCATATTTTTTTTATATTCTGTTACAGAGACTATTTTTAGAGCCTAAATAAATCATATTTCTATAGAGGGGAATATTTGTCAATTATCTTATATTAATGAACAGTTTCTTTTAATTTTTAAATAGATATTAAATTTATATAATTACAAATAGATATACTCTAAGTATCATTAGAGTATTATATAAACCAAAATTCCTATTTAAAAAGCCATATTATTTAACATATAAATAAGGAATACAAAAATATATTTAAAATTAGTTTTAATTTTTTAAAAGGTTAAGAAAAGTCTCGCACTTTTAAAAAAAGAATTAGTAAAATTTTATATGCGAAAAAAAACATTAAATTATTGGCTTTTGTTTTCGTTAATGTTTAATATATATTTAAATAGTTTTTTAGGTTTAATATCAATTTATTTTTAATATTATTTTTTTATATGTTTTTGTTAATTAAGGTTAATATTAAATTAATTTTATGTATAGTTTAAGTTTATCTTCTAATATGTCAGGTTAACCTTTTATATAAAAATATGATTTTTTGTTTTATTTTATTATTATAGATTGTTACACTATATTTGTTTACAAGTGTAAAAAGAAAGTACTTTAAATTTCAATTTAATTGATAAATAAAAAATATTATTTTTTTAAAAATAATTATTTACTTATACATTAATCATTTATAATATTTATAAATAATATATACTTATATTAAAGAGAAAAAACTTTTACTTTTATCGTTTGAATATAAAAAAAAAAAAATTATATAATATTATATATTTATAATAATTATAAATATTAATTATAATGTATGATTATTTATAAAATATATAATATATATATTTATTATATATATATATATATATATATATATATTATATTAAAATATATATATATATCATATTTTATATATCAATTAATTTTTATTATATATTTTTTTATTATTTTCTATATTTTTTTTTTTTTTATTAATTTATAGACTAATTATTTACTTTTTTTTTTAACTTAAATTATTTAATTTATTTGTTTAAATCATATATTAGTCAATGTTTATAATTTAAATTTTCAAAGATTTAGTTTTTAAATATATTTTTCATATTTTTTATTTTAAATAATAAATATATTTAATGATTAGAAATATATTAAGTTTTATTTAAATTTAGAATTCATTCTTTTTAGTATTATTAAATTTATATGTAAAAATTTAATTAATTATATATATAAAAATAATATATATAAATATATATATATAAAAGCATATATAAATAATATAAATTTTCTTAATTTCTATTTTATAAAAAAAAAAACATAAAAAAAAAACACAAATAAAAAAAAATCTTTTTATATACAAATTCTTTTCTCACTATAAAATAAAAATACCAATAAATAAAAAAAATAAAATTTTACCTTAAATTTATTTTATCCCATAGCCTCGTTTTACATCTTAGCATCCGCCGGTTTTAAAATTTAAAAAGAGCACATTAATTATTCATCCACAGTCATCATAGCACCCGCATTATCGAATTCTCCGCAATAATTCGGTGCCGAAAATAATGTTACTAGTTATCTTTTTGCAAAAAATTCATATCCATCTTCTACAACCTAATGTGCTCTACAAATCAAATCAAGTTCATGTTTTTTTAGAAAAACAGACACTATTTCAGGACTAAATACATATGAAACACCTCTTTCGTTTTCAGCCCATCCCTATACATCTTTATCAGGATCACTCCATAATAAATCACATAATAAACCTTCAAATTTATAATGTTTTATATATATAGTTTTTTTTTTTTACCTGTATCAGGTACATCAGTAGGTCTTATTATTCTACGAATTTACTCAAGATTTGTTAATTCAGGAGACAAACCGCCGTGCATGCAAAATATTTTATCGTCTATTACAGCTGCTACTGGTAAACAATTAAAGCAATCTGTGAATGTTTTCCATAGTTTTATATTATATCTTCTTTTACCTTTTGTATATTTTATTATTTTTATAGTTTTTTGTTTACATTCATCATAAAATCCATATATTCTATTAATTGAAGCACATTCATGATTTCCTCTTAATAAAAAAAAATTTTCAGGGTATTTTATTTTATATGCAAGTAATAATGCAATTGTTTCTAAACTTTATTTTCCTCTATCAACATAGTCACCCCTTTTTTATTTTATTTTATGTTTATATATATATTTTTTTTCTCTTACAAAAATAAATAGTTTGTTTCAGGAGGATCTTTTTTAAATAAAAAAATAAAATATAAATATATAAATAAATATTGAAAAAAAACAAGTTTAAATTTAATTTTTGTTTTAAAAATTAAAAAAAAAGATGTGTTTAAATAAAAAAAAATATTTATAAATTTTAATAAGATTTTTTAAAAGAATATTTTAAAAAAATATATGAAATTTGAAAATATTTTTATTAAAAAATCTCCTGTATATATGATTACTATTAATATATATTTTGCTATAAATTAATTACATTGTCCATATTAGAAAAGTCTGAGTAAATCATAATATTATCCATGAATATCACCTTTTGAATAAATTTATTTTTTGGTATTTTTTTTTTGTGTAAAAAATACCACAAATCTTTAAAGGTGCTTCAAGTTCAAGTAAAATAGGCTATGAATTAAATATTTCCCTTGATTTAATACATAATCCTCTAATTTCTTACTCTGTTATATTAGCTTATTTACCAGGCTTATATTCCCTGCATATTAAAAGCTTTTCTATAATATTATCAACGTCTATATCTATTTCACTTGATTTTTAATTTTTATCTAACATTTTTTTATTTATTTTTATTTTTTTATGTCTTTTTTATTTTTTTTTTATTTTATTTTTTTATTTTTTTTTTAATATTTTTTTTATTTTTCAATGAAAAAATATTATATATAAAAAAAGAAAAATGAAAAGGATAAATTGAAAATATAAATCAAATTTAAAAATATAAATATATATATATATATAATAAATTTAAAATATATTATATTTAAAATATAAAATATATAAGATTTTTTTTATTTATAAACAAGTAAAATATTTAAATATTTAAATGACTTTTTATCACCAAATAAATAAAAAAAAACTTTTTAATTTCGAAAATATATTTCTTTGCAAGGTTCATTATTTATATTATAAATTAAATTACATTTGTTTATTGTGGGAAAAATTGATTTTTTGGTTTTGCAATAAATAAAAAAACCACAAAAAATATAAATATATACAGTTAATTTTCTTTTTAATATATATTTCAAGAATAAATGTCTAAAAAATAAATATAAATTATATTTAATTAAATATATTAATTCTAAAATATTATATAAATAAAGAAAATTTATTTATAAAAAGTTTGATTATAAATAATTTTAATAAAATTCCAATATTTATTTATCTTATTTTATTATATAATAAAATTTATAAAATATTATATTGTTAAATCTATTCTATAATAATAATTATATTATTAATTTTTTTTATTATATTAATTATTTTATTTTTTTAATTAAAAATTGATTTGTAAATTTTTAGTTTGTTAAAAAATATTTCATTTGAAATATACATATATATGGAAAATAAAAATATGCCAAATAAAGATTATTCTTTAAATTTTTAATATTCCAAAACATCGCGAATAAATACGAATTTAAACATAGAATAAAAAATCAAAAAACTAAAGATATAATAAGTAAATGTAAATACATAAATCAAGAAAAAATACTTTAACATATTACTACTACATCAGATTCAATAGTAAAAAATAAAAATCTATTTAATTTATTTTTCTTTATTAAATAAAAGTAAATTTAAAGCTAAAATATCAATTAATAAATGAATAATCTTATTTATAAAACAAGTATAAAAGAAGCAGACTTTTTCTTCTAAAACTTTGATAAGATTATAGATGTTAAATTTATAAAAAATGATTAACAAAATTATACATCATCAAGTTAATATTCGAAATCATTAACCTTTATATTCGAATAAATAAAAAATGAAGACGCTTAAAAAAATAGAATATAAAATGCTTATTTTTAATATTAATAAAGCAAAATAAACAAGAATGAAAATAATTCGCCTTCGAGAATTCGTTCATAGAGTTAATTTACAAATGTTTATAAATGTCGAGAATTAATTAAATAACAACAAAATTATATTATTAATAATAATAATAATATTGGTGAATAATTAAATAATTTAAAAAAAGGAAAGAAATAATAAAATATAAAAGATTATTGTTATAATATTTTTTTTAAAAATAATAATCCACCTATACCCTAGTCAACTAAAACAAGTTCTAATAATTATAATTCTAATCATTATAATTACTAGAAATATAAATATAAAATATAAAATAATAAGGAAAACTTCTCAAAAGCAGCAAACTAAAAATAATAAAATGCAGAAAATTCTAACTTCAACTTTTATAGACCGAATAATGAAGATTTTTTGAAAAAATAAAGGCTTAATACATATGCACATGATAGTAAATACGATAAAGAAATTAGTTAAGCCTATTCCTTTTTACCTTAGAGTATTAATAATTCGAAAAGCTAACATTATTTAAATCTTGTTTAAGGACCAAATAAAGGAGTTTATTTATTTAATTAAATTGATATTGATATATTTAATAATAATATGGCCATATGGGATATTTAAAATAAAATTAAAAAAGTAAAAATTTGAATTTAGATTAAAGCTTGAATAATAATAAAACATTAAAGAATAGTAATAATTACGATTAAAATTGAATTTTTACTTGATAATTACAATTATATTTTTTATTTATTTAAAATAATCATTTTTTTATTTAACTTTATAAAAAACAAGTTTGAACTTTATGTTTATTTAGAAAAACTATATTTATTATAATTAATCTATAATTCATTTCTTTTGTAATTTAAATACTATATAAAAAAAAATTATAATATAATATTAATTTAAAAAAATAAAAATAAAATGATTTCCTTATTTTATTTTTTATATAAATTTATTTAATATTATTATATTTTTTATTTTTTATTTTTACTAAAATAAAATAAAAAAATACTTTTCCTTCTCAAATTTACCATTCCTTTAAACCTGCCTATTACTTAAGCTATCTAGTGATTTTATCCGTTAGGAAAACAGTAGTCCACCCATAAATAAAAGTTCTGGCATAAAAAGGGAAAAATCCCATATGAAATCCTTAAATTCCTTCAACAATAATTACTTATTAAACCGCATTAACCCATCCATTATAATTAAGTCTATTAAATTCAGGGTTTATATGTTAATTTTGTAGCCTAGTTTTTATATTATCAAATGGTAAAGTAAATGCTGTAGCCCAGAAACTAGCCCACATAAGTGCCACCCATTTAAGCCAGGCCATATCACCGAAAGTAATCCACATTTTTTCTTGTAGATAGTCATAAGGACCTGTTAAACTGATATTAAGGACTATTGCTCTCAGTATATTGGCGAAACCTCCTTTGAAAATGCCAGATAAGCCTTCTTATTAAAGTACTTATTGAAGGCCATTCAATAAGCCAGTGTAATTAAATCTCATTTCTTTCAATCTACCGCCATCTGCAATCATTCTAGTATTAATTAATTCAGCAGGGGTTGTCAATAAAGCAGCAAAACCACCTGCTATACCGGAAATTACTCCTTTTTCTCTATGACTTAAATCATTATGGGGTTTCTTGGGTTTATATTAATCATAAATAGACTTATATAAATAATTTCTTATGAAAATATAGCTTAATCTACTAACTAATGAGACTCGAAACCATGATAAAGCTTCTCATGCCGTTTCCAGTCTCATGAATTTGACGAAATACTTTATTTGGATTTATGCCAGTATATAAATTCTTATTACGATTACCTATGCCTTCAGAACGAATTTATACGCGTGTCTTAATAAATTCTATAGGATAAGTAATAGCTGTGGATAAGGAGTTTACTGAAAGAGAAATTGTTAAGAGTTAGGGAGTGGAAGGTTCCCAATATCTTTTATATGAATAATTCATATTTTTTTATATATTATTATTATTATTATTTTTTTATGATATTTTTTTTTTTCTTTTATTTTGTTTATACTTTTATTTTCATTTCAAAAATTAAAAAGTTATTCAAAGAATTATTTTTTAATATATAAAATAAAAAATATTTATTTATATTTTAATAAATATATATTTATTAATATTTAATAAAATAATAATTATATAAATTAAATATCTAGAAAAATTTATTCCTTGAATATATTAATTATAAAAAATATACAGAAACAAATAATATAAAAATTAAAACACAAAAATATATAGATTAATATTATTATTATATTAATATAAATATTTTATTTTTATTACATTTTATAATTTTTTTTAATTAATATATATATTAATACTTTTTTATTTTATTAGATTTATAATTAACTATTATTTTTACAGTGTTTTATATTACACATTTATTTAGATTATTTATTTGATATATAATTATTAAATTTACTTTTAATTTCGATTAAAATAATTTTTGAAATAATTACTACACGTCTTAATATTATTTATCATTACTTATTTGTTTTTTAAATATCAAATCAATTTTAATAATACTTTAATTAGTTTCTGAAAAGCATACTATTTCTTAACTTATATATAAATTTAAAAATCCACTGGTGCACGAAAAAAGAGAACACAATTGCTATAAAAAAAATGTATTTCAGGTTTTAAATAAAATTAAGGTCCGTCCAGTTTTAAAAATCTTTAAATTTTTTTATTATTATTTAATTTTTTTTAAATTACAAGCACTTTTATAAATGTAATTTTTACATATAAATTATTAAAAGTAATTTAATTTTTAATATAGGTTTCTAATATAATATATTATGCTTTAAATAAAAAGAAATTTCAATACCGCATACTAAAATATAATATGTGTTATTTCGCATAATAAATTGGAACAGATTCCTAAAAAAGACCACTAAAGTCTCTAATTTAATCTAAGCGGATTTCAAGTTTGCTTTTCTAGTTAAAGTGATAGTTATAAATATACATTAATATAATCCCATAAGTACACATAGAGTATAATTATCAATAAATTTGCCTTATTTTTCTCTAATTTTACATAAGTAAATTCTATATTATACTAATTAGTATCCCTTAACTTTAAGAGGTAATAATTCGATTAAAATAAAATTATAAATTTATATACATAATATAATTTTTAATGTCCTTAGCACAAATTGAAGCATAAAAATATGTAAGTTTTAAATATTGGTGTCATATTTAATTTATGGAAAAGTGTTGTCTTATTAGCCTATTTATTTTAAGTTTATTTACATATATTTATTTATAGTTTTTTTACATATATATTTATATATACCTGCTTTATTTAAAGAATAGATACAATTCCATATTACTAAATGTTAACTACAGCAAATAATAATACATGTGTAGATATATATTTAATGTTTTGGAATAAAATTTTCTTTTTAAATTTCAGCCGGCTGACAATATTATTACAAGAAGAATTATTTATAAAAAATACTTTTTAAAATGGAAGTTTTTATTTATTTGCTTATATATAAAATGCTTAATTATACTAGCTAATTTTATGATATATAAAAGATTAAAAAAACTATTAATATTATTATACAGAAGCCAGTTGAATTTATATGATAGAACTTCAAATTTAATGTATTTTAATTATTTGTTTATTTAAAAAATCTTATTTAGCATAAAATTTAAGATATAAATATTTATAATACAATTAATGATTGTTATTTAAATAATTTTAATGCGATTTCCTGGTTTTTTCAAGAATGATTTATTAAAATTTATTTTATTTATTGTTTTTTTTTAATATTCTTTTTTAAATATTTTATATTTTTCAAATAATTAAAAAATATTTTTACATTCTTTTTTTTATTTTTAAGTATTCAATGCACCTTTTTGTTAATTTTTAAAAAAATTAGCAAAGCTAATTTTATTTTTATTAATTATTTATGTTTCTTGAAAATATATTTTTCTATAAATTTGTATAATTGAATAATTAATATTTATATATGTTAATGAGATTATAAATAAAAGTTTTTATAAATTTAAGTAAATTAAAATACATTAATTATTCAAGAATATTTATTAAAAATAAAAATAATAATGTTTCGAATCAATATATAGATTATATAACCAATTTATATTTTAATTAATTTTAATTAATTAAATGTTTTTTATTTAAAAAAAAATATTAAAAAATTTCATTTATCTATTTTAGTTGCATCGACAGCTTTTGAATTAAATATTATTTTTTGATTTTCCTTTTTTATTAAAATAAAAGTTAAAAAATATTCTAAAAATTAATATTTTTTTTTTCTACTAATAATCTTCTTTCATATATATAGTTTGCAGCTATTTTTTATTATAAGAAATAATCATTTTTAATTTTATTATTTTATTTCTAAATAAAAATAAAAAAATAATTTATAAAGATTTCCATAATAAATTATTACATTTTCAGCTATCGATATGTATTTATTATTATGTACTTTATTATTTAATTCTAAAATTTTTAATCTTTCAATTTCAATTTATCTAATAATTTCTTCATTTTTAATCTAACTTTCATTTAATAATATACTTATCTTTTATTAAAAAAATAAAAATATACAATATACATATGTTTTTTTAAAATAAAAAAATACTTCTTTATTCTCATTAGTAATTTAATGCTTTTATTTTTCAATAAAAATTATTTTTTCTTTACATTTCTTTTTATATTTATTTATTTATTTATGATAAAAAAAATTACTCTTATTTCTTTTTATAAACTAGATAAATTGAGAATAATTTAACTTAAATAACTTTTAATATCTTTTAGTATTTTTTCTTCTAAAAGTAATTGTTTTTTATTATAAATCATATCTTCTTGAAGTTTATCTTTTTCTTAAATGCATTCATCTTTTTTTTTCATAAAAATTAGAATTATGTTCATTATTTATTAAGGGTTCATTTTTTCTTATTAACTTTCAATATTAGCAATAGTAATACTTTCTTTTGGATAACTATTTAAATTATCATAAAAATTTTAAGCATGTGAAATAAAAGAAACTCCTAATTTTTTACCTTCAAGTTCTTACTTTTTTTATTTTACTTTAGAATTCGAACAGTTCATATTTGATATTAAAGTAGAGTTGTTACGGTCTTAATCCTAAATACTCTATAATTGCTTTTTAGAATTATATTGGGTATTATGAGTACTATAGAGACTATAAGGACTATGTCTATTACAGAAAGATTTAGTTCTTTTAATTGGTGTTAAGCAATTTCTTTTTTTTTCTTTTTATCTTTTTTTGTATTTTTTTTTTATACATATGGTTTTTCGGAAGTTGTAAATTTGGGGATTTGTTAAAAGATTAAATGATATCTCTTCTATTTTTATTTGAGGTTTTCATTTTATTTAAAATATTTTTTTTTATTTTTTTCTTATTTTATTTGTGTTTTTTTCTTTTTTCTTTTTTTTTATTTTTTTATTTTTTTTGGTTTTTGTTTTTATATTCTTTTGTAAAAAAAAAATTGATAAATTGTGATTATTATTTATTTGCTTTTTATTAATTTTTTTTTTTTCTTTTTTTTTGTGCTTGCATTTTTTAGTATTAACTATTTTAGGTAGAAAATAAAAAAATAGTACTTCAATCTAAAATTATATTTGATTTTTAAATGGTTGCAAATAAGTCATATGTAAAAATATTTTTTTTATTAAAATTATTTATATAAGGTATAAATTTGTAAAAATTTCAAATATAATTAAATATAATTTGTAAAAAATAAAAATCATTTAAAAGCCATAATATATATATTATAATTAAAGAGCAGTGTTAATTTTTATATATTTATCTTAATATTAAAATAAAGATTTTTTTTCAAAATTAATTTAATTTATTAGATATGAAAATATTAATTAAAATTAATTTTATTGCAAAAAGGTTTTAGATAAATAAACTATTCCTATATATTTTAAAAAAAATTATATCTATATATATTTAAAAAAATCATAAAAAAAGTCAGATGATAAATGAAAAAATAAATAATTTAAAAAAAACAAAATATAATATAATATAACTAAATTTATGTATATAAATTAAATAATAAAAATAAAAGCTTTTAAAATATATGATTTTTTTTTGCTTTTACACATTTTTTCATTTTTTTATCTAAATTATTTCAAGAGTATTTTTACAAAATATTAATTTTATTTTAATTTCTTATCATTTAAATTTTATTCCTAAAATTGTATTTTATATACTTTTCATTGAATTCTAATAAAAATCTGTCTTTTATTCTTAATTAGATTTAATAAATCCCATTGATTCTTTCTGTTTACTTTAAAAGAATTATTTTCCTTAAGATGTTTCCAAACAAGTAGTAGTATCGAAATTTGTATTAAATTTCCTATTTTAAGATATCATACTTTAATCAATTTTAAATAAAGGAATTTCAAATTAAGTATTTTATATATTTTCCACAGTATCTTCATAAAATTATGACGTATCAATAAACTAGCTTTCTTTTTTACTTAATTTCAATTAATTAATTTTTTCTTATTTTTTTTATTTAATAACGCAATTTTCAGTACACCAATCTAAACATATTTCCCCTATTTAATTTTCATTTATATTTAAATCTTTCTAAAAAGCTTGCTTTAACATTTTATAATTAGGTTTTTCCTTAAACTAAAGTCCAAAAACATGGCTAAAATAAACTCGAAAAGATAACGGTACATCTTTAGTTAGATCTTCTATATTCTATTTTATTTTCATGTTTTTTATTATTTCAAACTTCTACTCTTTATCTTCACAAACCAAATTTTGCCAAGGCAACTCGCCTTTTAAAAAATACAACAAAACATAGCCCAAAGACTATAAATCATCTCTTCTTGATTATTCTAATCCTTTATGGCTATTAATTGATGTATATCTTGCAGTCCCTATTAATCCTTTGTTGACACTTTCCTATATATGTTAGTTATTTTCAATATAATTTTTTGATAAACCGAAATCTATTATGTATATTTTATGGTGATTTCCTTCATTTCCAATGACGAAATTTTCAGGTTTTATATCTCTGTGTATATAATGTTTTTCATGCATAAATTATAAGGCTTCAAGCATTTATATTCCACAAATTAAAGTGGTTTTTGGTGAAAATTTATTTGATGTGTTTTTTTTTTGAGTTGATCTAAATTTTATCCTAAGAAACTCATTATTAAAAAGGTATATTTATCTGTAACTAATTAATCGACTAAACGGGGAAAATGGACACAGTCTTGCATTAAATTTAATATAAAAGCCTCCTTTTGAATCATTCCTTATAATCCCTTTTTATCTTTTCTTTCTAGTTTAACAGCGCGGAGCTTTTTTTGAATATTGTCGAATACTTTATGTATCTCACCAAATGAGCCAGAACCTATTTTATCAAGGGATATGTATCTATCATTTAGAGTTATTTCTTACATTATTTTTTTAGGTAAATATTCATTTTGACTGTATTTCATTAAGTTGAAAAAAAATTATATATAATTATTATTTTTTAGATTAAAAATAAAAAATATAAAAAATTAAAATTATTTTTTTTGTTAATAAAAATTAAATTAAATTTAGTTAAAAAAAATATTAAAAAATAAATAAAAAAAAAAATAGAATTTTTAGAAAAATATAAAAATAAATTATAAATAAAATATAAAATAAATAATATTGAAAAAATTATAAAATAAAAGTTTTTTTATTAAAAAAAATATTTATTTTAAAAAATAAAATATAAAAAAAAAGTAAAATAAATATAAATAATAATAAAAAAAATAAAAAAAAAATATATTAATAAATGTGATAAAATTAATAATAATAATAATAATAATAATAATAATAATATTTAATATTATAATATATCTTTTAAAAATTAATTTTAATAATTATTAATATTTTATCAATATCAATTGTTTTTATTTTTTTATTTTTTAAAATTTATAATATAAGATATTAAATTTATATATTAAATTTTAAAAATGTAATAAATACGGAAATTCAAAGTAGCAATATTACAAACTAAAGTAAGTAAAGTTAAAACAGAAACATTAAATTATGTTTAAAAAGCTCTTGATGAAGCAGGTAAAAATGGGGCAAAAATATCTATTTTGGGCGAAACATTTAATTGTCTTTATAATAAGGATTATTGTATTGCAGCAAGTGAAAATTTTTCTGAAAATTAAGAAAAAACACCTACATTAAAATTATTAAAAGAGTATGCAATAAAATATAAAATGTCTATAATAGGAAGTATTCCAGAAATAGATTCTAAAAATAATTTATATAATACTTGCATAGCAATTAATTAAGAAGGAAATTTAGCAGCTGTACATAGGAAAATACATCTATTTGATATAAATATTCCAGGAAAAGCAACTTATAAAGAATCTGATACGTTTAAAAGTGGAGACAAAATAACTATTTTTGATACAGGATTTTGTAAAATAGGGTTAGGTGTTTGTTATGATATAAGATTTGCAGAATATGCATTAGTAATGTGCTAAAAAAAAGGTATTTTTAGAAAGAAAAAAAATATAAAAAATTAAAAATAAAAATAAATTAATGTTTTAAATATATAAATAATTTTAAATATATAATAAAAATATATATATTTATATATATTATATATATTTGTATATTATTATATATATATATAGGCGCATAAATTTTGATATATCCAGGATCTTTTTCAATGGGAACTGGACCATATCATTGGGATTTGCTTTTAAGAGCTAGGGCCATTGATAATTTATGTTATGTAATAGGAAGTTGTACAGCTAGATTTACTTAAGATTCTTCAGTATATTGGGCTTGGGGACATTCAAGATTGGTTGATCCTTTTGGATAGGTCAAAGTCAGTTGTGAATATGAAGAGGCTATTTTATATCATGATGTTGATTTGGATTATTTAGATTAGATTAGAGCATAAATTCCTATTTATTAGTAAAAAAGATATGATATTTATGAAGTTATAGATAAAAAATCTAATATTTGAATTTTTTTTGTTAATATAGTTTATTAGTAATTGATTTTAGTATATAATTATAATATAATAATTATAAATTTATATAAATAATTATATTTTTTAATATTTATATTTTTATTTAAAAATTAAATAAATATTATTTAAATAATATTTTATGATTATTAGATTTTTATATAATGAATATAATTATTATATACAAAAAATTTTTAATATTAATTTTTATTTAGAAATAATTTAATTTAAATGAATACTTTTTTATTTTAATTAAATAGATTAATATTATATATATTTTTTTTTTTTAATTAAAAAAAATAATTAATAAAATAATACTATTTATTATTATTTAATAATTATTATTAACTTATTCAATAATAAAAATTGTCATTTTAATGCTATATTTGAAATTAAATTTTTAAAAAATATTATCTAATTAATAATATGTATAATACTAAAACTAAAACTATAATTAAAATTTCTTTATTATATCTAAAAAATAATATTAATATTATAATTATCATATTAAAAATAATTTATTTATAAATTAATATGTATAAATTATTTTATTATTATTTCTATTTTTCGTAAAATTAAAAAATCTATATATTAATAATAATATGATTATTTTATATGATCAAATTAATTAAATTATTATCCATAATAATATTTAATAATTCTTATAAAATTCTTATCTATATATCAATAATTTTATTTGTTGAAAAAGAATGTCTATATAAAAAATAAAAATAGTAATTTATAATGATGAAGAATATTTAAAAATAAAATAATTTTTTTAATATTATAAATTTTATTTTTTTACATAAATATTTATTTCAAATTTAAAAAATTTTATAGATATTATTTCTTAATCCAATAATTATTTTATTCAATAAATTTAAATAATAACGTAAAAATTAAAATATTAACGTAAAAATTTAACATTAATAAAAATAAGTTAAGTTAAATTAAATAAAATATAATTTTATAAATATATATAAAAATATAAAAAATATATAAATATATATATATATATATATATATTTAATATTTAAATTTCTTTATTAATTTTTTTATTGTTTTATTTATATAAAATAAAATCTAATATCATATTAAATAATTTTTTTATATAATTTCAGTTAAAATAATATTAAGTTAATTTTTAATTATTTTTAAGTTATTTTAACAATTTTATAGATTTTTTTAAAAAAGTTTAATATATATTTTTAATATTAATTAAAAAAAATTAAAAAAAAAAATTTTAAATAATTTAAATAAAATAAAAAAAAAATGAAGAATACAATTTTAATAATATTTTTTTTCGGGTTTATATGTTATTCCTTAGGATAAGACTTTTTCACTGAAAATTAATTATAAGTAAATGATCTTGAAGGATGGATAGTTTATAACAGCTTAAGTTATGACGGTAACGAAAAAAGTTAATGCTAAACTATTGATGTATTTGGTTTAATGAATACATTTGGAAGAAAAGATTTTTAAACATAAACTTATGTAGAAAAAGTATTTGATGTATAAGGTTAATCTACTTGCTAGTTAAATTTTGATTTATATCTTATGAATATTACATTCAAAGATATTTTTTTCGTAGAAGTTGATGATGTATAGGATGGTTAAATAGAAGGTAAATAATATAAATTATATAATAAATTAAAATTTTTAAAAAATAGTATTGAAATATGATTGTAATAATATATTATAAAATAAAGAAGGAGATATCTTAACTGTATAATGTTTTGATACAGATTATAATATTTAAAGAGATACTTAAATTGCATAATTTAAAGAAAAGTCATTTAATGTCAGAAGCTCTTTTAAATTAAGATTTAGAGCTGAATTATCTTCAGAAGATAATGATACTTATTGGGGCTTAAGAAACGTTTCTATAAAATGCGTTTGTAAAGATTGTAATGAACAAAACTAATGTCCTGCAAATTCAATTAAAAACTAAACTGGAGTATGTGAATGTTATAAAGGATTTGTTAATATAGGAACTTAAGAATAATTGATTTGCGAAATTGAAGAACATGCATGTGATATATCATGTCATACTTGTGATAATGGAGTTTGTGGATGTAACACAGATTAGACTCTTTCCAACGATGGAAAAAGCTGCAACACTCCAGTATGTAATGATAGTTGTTTCTAATGTGATAAAGGAATTTGTATTTGTGGAGAAGGGTAGGAATTGACTGAAGATAATAAATCTTGCTAAGTAAAATGCCCAGACGGATGGAAAAGGGGTGAAGACGGTTTATCATGTTCACTTGAATGTAAATTAGGGTGGTAATTAAATGAAGATGGATAATCTTGTGTGCTTGTTTGTGGAGAAGAATAAGAAATTAGTAAAGATGGATAGTCATGTATAGTAAAATGCCCAAATGGATGGACAAGAGGTGAAGATGGTTTATCATGCTTCCTTGAATGTAAATTAGGATGGTAATTAAGTGAAGATGGATAATCTTGCTTACCACCCTCTTGTGATGAATCATGTCATACTTGCGATTTAGGTGTTTGCGGATGTAACGAAAAATATACACTTTCTGAGAATAATAAAAAATGCAACCCACCTGTTTGCCATGAAAGTTGTTCCTAATGTAATGAAGGTACTTGCGTTTGTGATGAAGGTCAATAATTGAATGAAGATTAATAATCTTGTTCTGTTGTCTGCCCTCAAGATTGGACATATGATGGATAATCTTGCTTACCCCCCTCTTGTGATGAATCATGTCATACTTGCGATTTAGGTGTTTGCGGATGTAACGAAAAATATACACTTTCTGAGAATAATAAAAAATGTAACCCACCTGTTTGCCATGAAAGTTGTTTCTAATGCCATGAAGGTACTTGTGTTTGTGATGAAGGTCACTAATTGAATGAAGATTAATAATCTTGTTCTGTTGTCTGCCCTCAAGATTGGACATATGATGGATAATCTTGCTTACCCCCCTCTTGTGATGAATCATGTCATACTTGCGATTTAGGTGTTTGCGGATGTAACGAAAAATATACACTTTCTGAGAATAATAAAAAATGTAACCCACCTGTTTGCCATGAAAGTTGTTTCTAATGCCATGAAGGTACTTGTGTTTGTGATGAAGGTCACTAATTGAATGAAGATTAATAATCTTGTTCTGTTGTCTGCCCTCAAGATTGGACATATGATGGATAATCTTGTTTACCCCCCTCTTGTGATGAATCATGTCATACTTGCGATTTAGGTGTTTGCGGATGTAACGAAAAATATACACTTTCTGAGAATAATAAAAAATGTAACCCACCTGTTTGCCATGAAAGTTGTTTCTAATGCCATGAAGGTACTTGTGTTTGTGATGAAGGTCACTAATTGAATGAAGATTAATAATCTTGTTCTGTTGTCTGCCCTCAAGATTGGACATATGATGGATAATCTTGCTTACCACCCTCTTGTGATGAATCATGTCATACTTGCGATTTAGGTGTTGCGG